TACGAATGAAACCTAAGAGATCAGCACACACATGTTCGGTTAATTCATTAGTTAAAAGCACTTTTTATTCACAGGTAGGCTGACTCTCTCCAGCTTGATGACATTCATAAAATCAATCACTGTGAAATATTTGTTGGCAACGATTGATCAGTTTTTTCCTATATTCAGACTTATTTGTATATTTAGGGAAAGTCTTGCACAGTAGGGTTCACTTTTGAAAACTGTTCTTTGACCAATAAATGATTCCTCCACTAGATGTCAATACTGCTCTGTCTCATGTTTCAGAGCTATTCATCAAGATCATTGCAACCGTTTTCTAAAACAATTTCTTCAGTTTTAAAAATGTAATTAATAGGTATCTATATTTTTAAACAGTGTCTAAAAAATTAGTTGACTCCAATAAGATGAGTGATTCAAGAAAACGATCTCACGACGTTGATTTGCATTGGAAATCAAATGTGTTATCCCCATTAGTAGATTGCTTTCACAATGTACAGTACATGACGGTGACAGCTGCTGTTAAAGCTTTTCTGCACCAGAAGATGGCGATGTCGAGCTACATTTAAACCCCCACATCACTGTTTCGTGCCGGATAAAAAGCGGAACAGACCTATGTACGTTTCCTTTAAATGTGATTGTAGCATAGATCTGTGTCTCTAGATGTAACAGCAAAGATGTGTATCGAACCTTGGCTCTTGCATTATTCTTCTAAAAGCTCTATTTGTGCCACAGACTCAAAGGAAAAGCTTCAATATATTATTTCTTTTTTTAAAGTGCATATTTTTCAATGAAATGTAAGGTGAGGTTGGCGTTAGCCGAAAATATGTTGAGACAGGATGATAAGATAAGGATGAAATCCAGTCAGTAACGTGTATAGCACTATTTTTGCCAGATCTTTCAATGCCGGTCAAGAATATCTCATTACGAAGAAATTTCATATTCCCTATTTTTTAAAGCGTAAGGGGGGGGGGGGGGGGTGCTTTGCTCAGTTACACTTCAACCGGCTTGAACCTAAACTCACCTCGAATGCCTGCTTTCTGATAAACACTCTTTTATAAATTAAATGCAATGAGAGGTTGTTTTAATTGAGACACAGTAAAACGAAGAATGAATAGATGACATTTAATTGTCATCTCTTCAAAGTGTAAACCCTTTCATTGACAGCAGATGTGGAGCTGTCCACTGGATTTGGTGCTGAATGCGTTTTCTTCTCATCAACAAACGGGGGGATCTGAATGTATTTGTTTGTGTGTTTATTCTGAACTACAGTTGACTACTAAAGGTTTCTGTTATAGAGTGGAATTGCCAGAGTTATGTATGTATTTTTTTTTTCTTCAAATGATCAAATTGCGCATAAGTAATGTTTAACATTGAGGGTATTAAACAAATAGATGCAGACTTCCTCGGTTCTGTCTTAAAGTAACTCACTGGACAGCAGTGCGCAGGGATTCTGTATTTAATTAGCATAAAAGATCTTCTGGAGAGCAGCAGGACTGTGCGTCACAGCCATCGGCGAAGATGGGAGGGGGGAGGGGGGCACCTATGGGAGTCAACAAACTGCAGTGTGTATTCCTTCCACGGCCGACAAAACCAGTCCGGTTGATTTGAGATGATGACTTAGCTCACAGCGTTACAGGTGACTGGAGACAGCTGGGATCCGAAGGGGTGCAGCAGAGGGACCTCAAACAGAGCGCGTACTGATGGAGCCGGCACAGTGAGCTGTAGGAGAATCCCCAACCTGTGAGTGCTGCTCGGGACCAGCGCGTCACCTGAATGACGGGATAGAAGACAATGAAGCAACTAGGGACGTCGGGGATAAAACAAGTCCGAGTCACGGGAGTGGAAAAGCGCATGCGATGACGGTCGGCGCAAGGGACAGAGAAGAGGTAAAGCAGAAGGAAGTTATCTAGCTCATTAGTAGGGCTCCTGGTGCTGGGAAAGAAAACAAAAAAACAGACAGAACAGATGTGCCAAGCGTGCGTAATTCAATAAACAAATCAACCGGGGAAAGCCGGTTTTCTTTCTCAAAAGACAAGACTTGAGACAGAAAGCGAAACAATCATGGAGCCGGAGGAGACCAAAGAGGGACGTGCCACTAATTTGGCTCAATCTGCCGCCTCCAAACTGTCCCAGATGAGCGAAAGAACTCAACAACTGGGCAACGTTATCCAAGATCCAGTTCGGCAGAAACGGATTATTCTAGTAATAGTCTGCACTGCACTTTTGTTAGACAACATGCTTTATATGGTAATTGTGCCCATTATACCCGATTACCTTGAAGGGCTACAGAAAGCAGCGGATCACGCCGAGGCCATTGCACCGCACTCCAACTTTACTAACAGCACCATGCACACAACAGCCAAGGGGAACTTCGACCTACAGATTGGGGTTCTTTTTGCCTCCAAGGCAATCCTGCAGCTCCTGGTGAACCCGATAAGTGGCACGTTTATAGACAGGGTGGGGTATGAAATTCCACTCTTCATCGGTCTTAATGTCATGTTCCTGTCCACGGTTACTTTTGCCTTCGCTGATAACTACGCGACTCTGTTCCTGGCGCGCAGCATGCAGGGCCTCGGCTCGGCTTTCGCGGACACGGCGGGGATCGCTCTGATCGCAGACAGGTACACAGTGGATACAGAGAGGAGCAAAGCGCTGGGTATTGCCTTAGCTTTCATCTCTTTTGGAAGTCTCGCGGCGCCCCCCTTTGGAGGGGTCCTCTACGAGTTTGCAGGGAAACGGGTGCCCTTCCTGATTCTGGCCTGCATCTGCCTCACCGATGGCATACTGTGCCTGACTGTGCTGAAACCTTTCTCGAACCGAGAGAGAGAAAACATGCCAGTGGGCACCCCAATACATAAACTGATGGTTGATCCTTATATCGCTGTAGTAGCTGGTGCTCTGATAGTTTGTAACATCCCCCTCGCCTTCCTTGAGCCAACTATCGCTAACTGGATGGAGGAAACCATGCATTCCAGTCAGTGGGAAATCGGCCTGGCATGGTTCCCTGCCTTCTTCCCTCATGTTTTAGGTGTATTTCTCGTTGTCAAATTAGCAGCCAAGTACCCTCACCTCCAGTGGTTTTACGGGGCTATAGGTATGGTGTTCATAGGTGCGAGCTCCTGCACAGTGCCAGCCTGTAAAACCTTTGGACAGCTCATGTTCCCGCTGTGCGGAATCTGTTTTGGAATCGCCTTCGTGGACACGGCGCTATTGCCAACACTGGCTTTTCTGGTGGATGTGCGACACGTGTCAGTGTATGGCAGTGTCTACGCCATCGCTGACATCTCTTACTGTGTGGCCTATGCCCTGGGGCCAGTGGTGGCTGGGCAGATAGTACACGACCTGGGCTTTGTTCAGCTCAATTTAGGCATGGGCCTCATTAATGTACTTTACGCACCGGCGCTCCTTCTGCTGAAGAACGTGACACAGATGAAGCCATCTTTCTCAGAGCGAAACATGCTCCTGGACGATGGCCCAACAGGACTGTACGATACGATTAAGATGGAGCAACGAGAAAAGAAGAAAAAGGGTTTGTGTACAACGATTGACGAGGCTGGCACTGAAACCTTTGCGCAACGGTCATACTCAGAGGAGGAATCCTCAGGAGGAGAGTATGCGTAAAAGACCTTTAACTAAGTGTGAAACTATCAAAGTGCCAATGTAAAGTTGTGTGTATCCCGTCCAATCCAATCACTTGCATAACATGATTAGGATTGTGTAACATAAATGATGTACTGTTTCTGGTGACAATTCCTCCGGGTATTGTCAAATCAAGTAGCTTCAAGCTTTTGCAGTAGAAAGGCGCTCGCTGGCGTTTGTTCATCTTAAAGTGGGAGTAATGTGAAAGACTTGTTGAGATAAATGTCAATTCATTAACAGTATTTATCTCTGTATCAGAATCTTGCTCATATTCAGGGATTATGTGTAAATGTATTTTAACAAAAGAACAATTGTACTGTATGCGTCTGTCAATGTGAAATGTATTTATTTTTGCCAGAGTTGTGCTGCTAAACTCAATATGCAATACTGTGTGTCAGATGTTTTTAGAAAGATACAACAGATGAACTGAAGTCTGCGTGTTGTTGTCTGATTATTTTTGTTTATTTTGGATGATATACTTCTGGAATGCATAGCCTCTTTGTGTGATCTGCAAATGTACATACATGTATATTCATGTACATAATTAAATCAATATTATGTGAATGGTATCGTTTATGGAAATTATTTATTTAGGCAATTATTCAATTGCCTAAATAGTTCATTCAATTACACGTATTCTGGTGTACGACACGAAAATAGTAATACGATATTACTTCTTGAATTATGGTTATACTATTCATAAAGTTTTTCAATGCATGTTCCCATTAAAACACACATTAAAGCATTATAGAATAACAATATATAACAAGTGTTAAGGCCTAAACTGAGGTATTTTGTGAGGATTTTTAGTTGTAAATTAATCCATTATAGAGAAGGTAACTTTTCCTGATAAAGAAAACTGGTTTGTAACAGATTATAATAATTATAATCCTTACGGTAATATTGTGTTTAAATCTAACAGCTACGCTCATTGAAAAACTGCAAATCTTTCTAGATAATACGACATACACAAAACAAATTAAATGAGTCAAATGCAGTGAGGTGGAATCGATGTAAACTCCAAAAACAGCTCAACAAAGTGTTGAAATTCAGAAAGCCAAAAGGAGGAAGACGGCGCAAAAACACATCCTAACTGTTCTTCTGCAGCATGTGAGCATCTGAGGCGCTCAGTCGGTGTCTAAATAAGGTGGGGTGAAGATGTGAAGTGCCAAATAAACTTATCGGCGAATCGCAGGACTTCTGGGAGGAGCCTGGCAGGCAGGAGGGTGAGGTTCCCTCTCAGCATCTCTCCTGAGCCAGCGAGGGAGTTGCGCTCGTGCCATGTTGGAGATTGAAAGATGCTCAAAATAATAAAAGGACCAAAGAAGTGAAATTTAAAAGAATTTCCGCCTGAAATGGATGCAAGTCTAGATGCATAGTCCTAAACTCCTTGATTGAGCCCCAGGACAAGTGGAATTGTTCTATCTTTCTGGTGAGTAAAACATTACGTTTTTTGATGTTTTGGTTTATTTCACTTTGGTTAATGTATTATTGCTAGGCTGTTCATGAATTAAAAAAAATGGAAAAAGAGGTAAACACCTTCCAAAGTCCGCATTCTTATTTGTTTTAGTCATGACAGTAATACGTTTGATTTGACTGCCATGGAGACATGTTTAAAAGCAATTACACTTGCTGGAGTTTGATGCTGATATCTTTGTATTTGTGGACACAGAGTCTGTCTCTCTGCACCGCCGAGATGCCAGTTTTGGACCGAGAGCCCTCCAGAGATTCAGGAGGGGGAGATGTAAATATATATTTCACTTATATATAAGGATTACGAGTCTTTAAACTGTAATATGAATGAAAGAAATAACGTTTGACAATCAATGAGGAATCTACAGATTAAACTAAATGAATGAAAAAGATACAAATTAAGATACAAAAATGAATTAACTACTCCACAAATGATGTTTTATAAGATAATGTGATTTGACAATTTCATTAATTATTCTCTTATTCTGAGTCAAGTGAAATTAATAATTTACAATTTGGGCAATCATTTGGTCTCAACTAAACACTGAATAGTTATTGAAAGCATATTCTTGATAGCTTTATATAATGCATGTGGCAGAAGAGAAGTTTAACATGTTGATATGTTGTCTGAAATAAAATAATCCACACTGCTCAGGGTCTTCCTAAACTGCCGCTGCCCGCCCTGAAGGACACACTGGACATGTACCTGAGCTGCATGAAGCACCTACTCACAGAGGAACAGTTCAACAAGACCCAAAATGTAGTGAAGCAGTTTGGAGCCCCAGGAGGAGTGGGGGAGCTTCTTCAGAGCAAACTCATGGAGAGGAGGGAGAACAAGGCAAACTGGGTAAATACAATGACTTGATCGAAAACATACAATATTGTGTGCAAGTTATTTAAAATCCTCAAGTTATCGTATAGTTTATTTGGCCTTTTTTATGATTATTTGCTCTTTTTAAATTTGGAAAATAAACGTTATTTTGTGTAACCATGAATAAAAGTATAGTTTGTTTGCAATCCTTTTGTCAATCTGTGAATATTTAACAGTTAATTTCAAACTGATAGCCACATCCAATCTGAAGTTTCTGCTTGTATTTATCTTCCTTTATTAACTCTTAAATCGCTATTACTTATAGAGCCTTTAGTTGAATCCCTTTATGTCCGACTTAAGGTGTATGAGTACTGGATGAATGACATGTACCTGAACAACAGACTGGCTCTGCCCGTCAACTCCAGTCCTGTGATGGTCTTCCCTCTGCAGCACTTCAGGGCTCCCATCGACTCTTTAAGGTAAGAGACACAGCACAACTGAGACAAATGAGTCATGAGACAAACTTCACAGGACAGCAGTGAGAAATATATTGTCCCTTGTGAGTCATCACATAAAAGGTACATCATGACAGGCAATTTGATTATTACGGCACGCAGATTTGAGGAGTGAACTTTATGAATTACTCAGAGACCAGCTTTGATTGATTATGCCCACTTGAACACAGCCTTGCAACACATTGACAGATATGGGTCATTACCCAAAACACCTCGAGGGCTGAGGCCAGGCTACTGGTGGCAAGGTTACCAGACAATGAAGGCTTGGTTTAGTTAACATGGTATTGATCTGGGACTGGCTCCTAAATCAGATTATTTACATGTGGCATTTACTGTATACTGTTAGGACGGAGTAATACAACTACACAAGAACAAGGCTTCATGCGTTGTGTTTTTGTAAAGTAATATACAAGGTAACATTCTCCTTTCTTAGGTTCGCTGCACACATGATTTCTGGAGTTCTTGAGTACAAGACTCTTCTTGATTCGTAAGTAAATGTAAAATCAGAGAGTCTTCACTTACGACTCATGTAAATAAAAGGCCTGACAAAGTGTTTGCGTGCAGTCGTTCCCTGCCTGTGGACTACGCCAGGGGCCAGCTGGCAGGAACCCCTCTGTGTATGGAGCAGTATTATCGCCTCTTTACTTCCTACCGCCTGCCGGGAACTGAGAGGGACACGCTGGTGGCCCAGGAGAGTAGCGTGATGCCAGAACCTGAACACATCATCGTGGCTTGTAAAAACCAGGTCAGACACAATGAAAACAAATCTTAAGTTGTCATAGACTAGTTCAATTATTAGCTTCTGCAGGTGCATCATCATCATCATCATCATCATCATCGTCATGGAGATTATTCAGTTGACATGTAAGCTCAACACTTTCAGGATCCTTCATCTTTGTCTCTTCAGTTTTACTTGAAAATAAATGCGTTGACTTTGGAAACAGTAGTTTGAGCAAGCCCTGTTTCAGCACAATAGTAGGGATCATCAATCACTGTATCAGATCGGACTGTAAACTGTAAGCTATTTGTCAAGAACGTGTGTGACTTTCGCACATCAGCCAGAAGCCTTAGCAGTACAAAACAATGTTGTTCTTGGCCTTTAACGACATGTTTAGATGACCGGCAAAACTACAATAAATGAAAGTGAAGTTGTATATAAAACTGCATTAATAGATTCTGAGTCAATATTGAAAGTAATACCTTAAGGATGAGTGCAGTGAAACAGCTTGTCTCTGTCCAGTTCTTTGTTCTGGATGTGGTGATCAACTTCCGCCGGCTGAATGAGAGAGACCTGCTGACTCAGCTGGACAAGATCACCAGGATGGCTGACAGCGAACAAGAGCATCTCCCACCCATTGGTCTCCTCACATCAGATGGACGGACAGAGTGGGCTCACGCTCGCAGTGAACTAATGAGAGGTTTGAGACTCTTTAAAGTCAAGTGGGTCTCAATGTTTCCAAGTCTATTTGCCACTGATGTACTCTTTTTACCCTGTATTGTGCTTTAGAGTCTACTAACAGGGACGCTCTGGACATGATCGAGCGTTGTATGTGTCTGGTCTGTCTGGATGACCCCTCTGGGCCCGAGCTCAGTGACACCACACGGGCCATGTTGATGCTGCACGGTGGGGGGGTGGCCAAGAATGGGGGCAACCGCTGGTACGACAAGCCCATGCAGGTGAGAGAGAACAGTTTGGAAGTGAGGCTACTTCGATGTTTGGCTCCTTGACTTGTTCCATTCAGTTTGGCTTCAAATTACATAGTGAACATGTTCAAATTGAGAAAAAACGAATAAACTGAGTATAAAAGGAATTTTGATATATCAGGGCTACCCAGCTAGAAATGTTTGGTTCTAAAAACATTCTGAGAATGTTACATTCATTGTTCTAGGAATGTTTTCAGCGGGAAGTTTTCTTTTGATTCCCAGAACGTTCTTCTGAAAGGTAGGATAACTTTCTCTAAAAACATTCTTAAAATGTTTGATGATAACATTGTTAGAACATTATGCCCTCCTATTCTCAAAACGTTTTCAGCAGAAGCTTTTATTTTGGTTCCCAGAATGTTCTTCTGAAAGGTAGGACAACGTTCTTTAAAACCATTCTTAAAATCTTTGGTGATAACCTTCCTAAAATGTTTTTGATAACATTGTTAGAACATTATGCCCTACTATTCTTAAACCGTTTTCAGCAGAAGCTTTTATTTTGGTTCCCAGAATGTTCTTCTGAAAGGTAGGATAACGTTCTCTAAAAACATTCTTCAAATGTTTTTGATAACATTGTTAGAACATTATGCCCTATTGTTCTTAAAATGTTTTCAGCTGCAAGTTAGATTTATTTATGTTGCCAGAATGTTATTATTTTAGAGAAGGATAACATGCTTTATGTTTAAAACATTATGCAAATGTTCTGTGGTAACAATTTATTAAAATATGTTTACATTACTAGAACATAAAGACATAATATTCCTGTGATTGTTCAACTCAAAATTCCTGGGTAAGTGGACTGACCACTGTGGTCATTAGGATGATTTTGATAGTTTACTTAACTATTGGAATTTGACTATTAACACATGTAAAAGGATGAATCGGAATCAGCTGGTGAAAGTAAGATTTGTTTATTAGAAAAGGGGAGCTGGGAGTGGAGGTTGGTTATGGCAGCAGTGAGAAACAGTTGTTCCAGGGTGGAGAGGCCTGGCTGGTCTTGGGAGTGTGGAAGGCCTTGGATTCCTCCTGGGAGAGACATAAGAATGAGTGTGAGACAAAAGCAGACAAAGTTGTCAAAGAATATGCTGGTAAAAAGCTAGAGCGGCACGAAACAAACCGTTCACGGCAACAATCCGGCAGGGAATGAGTGCAGGCTGCAGGCTTTCATAGTGTGGCTGATGAGCAGGTTGCAGGTATGGTTGATTGGAGATTGCTCCCAGCCGTGTCGAGCAGACCAGCAGGTAGAGAGAGAGACACACAGTAGAAACAAACACATACAAACACTAACAGGGGTTTCAGGGACGGGCAGTGACAGTCGGTCCGTTCTTCTATATGTCTGTCTTTGGTTTTCTAAGTGTTATTCGATCCATATGACAATAGAGATACGTATGTGCATAAACAACAAAAACACTTGTGGTATAATGTTCGAACAATGTTATCACCAAACATTTCAAGAATGTTTTTAGAGAACGTTATCCTATCTTTCAGAAGTACATTCTAGGAACCAAAATAAAACTTCTCGATGAAACCATTCCTAGAACAATGAATGGTAACATTCTCAAAATGTTTTTAGTAACCAACAATAGTCTAGCTGGGAACTCAGACATG